GCACACATGCACACATGTACACATGCACACATGCACACATGTACACATGCATACGTGTAGTTACCGAGTGTTCAGAGTACAAGTAGCTCCCCAGTTTATTTTCTCACCACATCTAAGATCTAGGATCTAGGATCTAGGCATCTGAGATCAGTGCAAAAGAGTATTGTGGGCACGCGACAGTGTCCGCGTTTCGTATTTCACAGGTGACCGCATTTTCAAGTGTCCACTCATACGCTAAAATGTACAAGAAATCAATGGGACTGCGGTGAGCCGTCCTGACTTTGCAGATGTCTGTTTTTCTCAGGTGTCTGCAAGGCCAGGTTTGGCTGTACAGGTATCTCAACCCTGGTCTTAGACCAACCCACTGTGCAACCCACTGTGCCTTCCTGCCTGAATGGTATGGTCTTTGGGTTATAATATAAAGTGTAAAGTACTACTTGTGTATCACGTACCTTGGATATTATGTACTTTGGGTTATAACATAGTCTAGGGCTGAAAGGAATATTCGAAATGTGCAGATCGGAAAAAGAATATTCTTCGTTAGAGTAGAATAAGAATGTTCGTAAATGTACAGAAATTCGTCTTTTTGATATCGAACAGGTTTATTTGGTGCAGAAAGTGGGTAAAATTGCCACCTTCCATGTGTTGTCATCAGCAAGACAAACGATAACATTGTCCTTTTCAAATGTCCCTCCTGTAATTGGGGTATACGCCAGTTGATGGTCTATGGTTACCATGGATACAACTAGGTATCCATGGATATTGTATGGTTTAGAATATTCGGAATATTCTTCGTTTCACACGTATTCGGAAAGAGAATATTCGTTCGCTTCATTGAGCATTCGTTTCAGCCCTATAAACATGCTACAGTCAAATTCGCTAGTAACGACTGCGGATATAACGACAATTTGCGAATAACGACAGAATTTCCATGCCCAGAGCAAAGTCCCACTTAACTGTAATACGTATAATGAGACTTCGGGTCTAAGGACACTTCGCGAATAACGACACTTCTCTGATGCCCCGCCGAGTGTCGTTATACGCAAAGTTGACTGTACTTCAGTCTTCAGCAAAACATAGCGTCGCAGCGTGAATTTCTATGTCTGATGGAAACGGTCGTTGCTAGGATGATGGCCACAGCATAGCTTAGTGGCACAGTATCTCTGCTGGGATGATGGTCACAGCATAGCTTAGTGGCACAGCATCTCTGCTGGGATGATGTCCACAGCATAGCTTAGTGGCACAGCATCTCTGCTAGGATGATGTCCACAGCATAGCTTAGTGGCACAGTATCTCTGCTGGGATGATGTCCACAGCATAGCTAAGTGGCACAGCATCTCTGCTGGGATGATGTCCACAGCATAGCTTAGTGGCACAGTATCTCTGCTGGGATGATGTCCACAGCATAGCTTAGTGGCACAGCATCTCTGCTGGGATGATGTCCACAGCATAGCTTAGTGGTACAGCATCTCTGCTGGAATGATGGTCACAGCATAGCGTAGTGGCACAGCATCTCTGCTGGGATGATGGCCACAGCATAGCTAAGTGGCACAGCATCTCTGCTGGGATGATGGCCACAGCATAGCTTAGTGGCACAGCATCTCTGCTGGAATGATGGTCACAGCATAGCTTAGTGGCACAGCATCTCTGCTGGGATGATGGCCACAGCATGGCTTAGTGGCACAGCATCTCTGCTGGGATGATGTCCACAGCATAGCTTAGTGGCACAGTATCTCTGCTGGGATGATGTCCACAGCATAGCTTAGTGGTACAGCATCTCTGCTGGAATGATGGTCACAGCATAGCTTAGTGGCACAGCATCTCTGCTGGGATGATGGCCACAGCATAGCTAAGTGGCACAGCATCTCTGCTGGGATGATGGCCACAGCATAGCTAAGTGGCACAGCATCTCTGCTGGGATGATGTCCACAGCATAGCTTAGTGGCACAGCATCTCTGCTGGGATGATGTCCACAGCATAGCGTAGTGGCACAGCATCTCTGCTGGGATGATGTCCACAGCATAGCTTAGTGGCACAGCATCTCTGCTGGGATGATGTCCACAGCATAGCTTAGTGGTACAGCATCTCTGCTGGGATGATGGTCACAGCATAGCTTAGTGGCACAGCATCTCTGCTGGGATGATGTCCACAGCATAGCTTAGTGGTACAGTATCTCTGCTGGGATGATGCCGCAGCATAGCTTGGTGGTACAGCATCTCTCCTGGCTATGAGCAATGATCCCTGGTTCGAGTCTTGGTGGTGACAGTCCAATTTTTTCTTCAGACTTATCCCGTTTCAACTCGCGAAAACTCATGAATATTTTCTGTATTGTGGCTCGCATGCTAGTTTGTGAGTGAAGTGTATGGCTATAGTGAGGGCTGTGTACTACCGGAAGTGTGAATTTGTAAGTATGATTTTTTTTAAAGTGTTGAGCGGTGTGTATATGTATCTGTGTGTTTGTATCTGCGTACGTATATGTGTGTGTGTGTGTGTGTGCGCG